AGGCTATGACGGCGATAACTATGATGTCATTTTTTTAACCATATATTGATAAAAGGGTCTGTTAATTGCCCAGTATTTTGCAGTTTATTTGTTAAAGTGTGCAGTGATGTTTTAAAAATTAATATCTTCATATCATTTATAATGTCATGTGCACTTGATGTAGGCCACGTGGCCTTCAAAACAAATTCTGGCTTTCATAGTATAAACTACTTAATTAACTGTATACTGAATAAAAATAGTTAATTATCATCTTATCAAGAGAAAGAGTAATGGAATACTTGCTCACCTGTCATTTCTTTAGCGTGAGAGTGTCTCCACTCACTACCATGTTTTTGGAGTTTGGTGTTTTCAGCGACATTGAACAGAATTCTCTCGCTGCAGTGAGTGAACATCACTCAGGCTATGACGGCGATAACTATGATGTCATTTTTTTAACCATATATTGATAAAAGGGTCTGTTAATTGTCCAGTATTTTGCAGTTTATTTGTTAAAGTGTGCAGTGATGTTTTAAAAATTTATATCTTCATATCATTCATAATGTCATGTGCACTTGAGGATTAATCATAACCATGGGGTCAAAGGTTTACAGTGAGCTTCATAATATTGCTTAGCATGAATTTGGAGTACATTTGTTGGGTTTTGAAAATCTGGATTTAATCAAATGTGTACGATGGCATAAAATTCTACATTGTGTGCTAAATTAGGATTGATTAGTAATGTTTTCCTCACAGCAGGACACGTACAGGAAATGTGTACCATGATTTATTTAATAAAATGTAATCCTTTTATTGAAGATCAGATTAAACACATTTGAAATTCTTACATGAAGTATAACCTGAACGAATATTTCTGTATTAAAATAAAAAAATATATATTTCAAGATCAAAAATGTTGAATATATATTTCCCCTGAACACCCAAACACCCAAGAAAATTATGATTAAATGTAGAATAACTGATACATAATTGATGTACTAGAGATTAAAGTGATCGCACAAAGTATAAGCTGAAGGATTCTGTATTTAAATAGTAAAATATTATTTTGAGAATAACAATGTTGAATATATATTTCCCCTGAACACCTCTGTAATTTCCCCTGAAATTATAAGCAGAATAACGGACACATAACTGATCAAATCAAAAGTAAAATAAAATAATTTGTGTTGCATGTATAAACTGTCTTCACATTACAAATCAGATTCTTTAGTATCCACTTTGATATCAGTGTAAGTGATGCCTTTGTATTGACCCTTGGTTTCATACTGTAACACACCGCCGTTCTTGCAAGTGATGATCACTGTGCCAGTGTAAGGCAGGTCAAACGTGGCTCTGCCGATGGTGATGTCAACATCCAACTTCTTTCTTGGTGGAACATCTACAGCAGTAGACAGAGTTTCCTTTCTCTCATCTGAGTGCTCACGACTGTAAGTGCTTTCTGCTCCAATGCTGACACTGTATCCTGCTGTAACTTCTCCAAGCACTGGAATCCCTGCCTTCACTTCCATACTAAATGTTGCCATAAGACTTAGAGTCACTGACCATAAAGATTTTGTGGTTATTGTCTTTGAGGTTTCGATTGTTTGCTTTTGAGTGATGGAGCTGCTGTTCTTGTAAGTTAAGGATTTGATCTCTTCCACTGTCACCTTTGGTATCAGTTGGTTTATTGTGGGATAGTTGACATTGGTGAGAACCGTTGATTGAACCGCATTGAGAAACATGAATCCCATGGAGTCAATATCTGCACCCGCTCTTCCTACAACTCCCAAACAATAACCAGAGCCGACATCCATGGGATATTCTTGTTTTAAACCCCAGCTTGTCATCTTTGCAAAAAATTCTCTACTCTCACTGGTCTTGAATTTGATGGCTCCAAGACGTGTTCCTGCTCCATTCCCCCAGAGGGACAGTGAGGTGAAACACTCACCAGGCTTGAACATGTACTCTTGATATGGTCCATCTGGATTGCCAAAGGTTTGACTTCTACCATCTGAAAGCCAAACCTTGACAGCCTTCACCTGCCATTCTCCCACCCAGACTCCAATCTTCTCTAAACCAGCACCATTGTTCTCACCCGTAAGTGAAAATGAAGCACCTCCTCCACCACCAATTAGCCCTAGAGTAGTTGGGTAAGACATCTTTGAGGTAAATGGATCTGAAAGGTACATCACAGATTAGTATTGATGTTTATTGATTAGAAAATGATAGTATTGATTAGTATTCATGTCCGTTGCATATTAATTTTTAAAATGGTCAATAAGCATTTTTTTATTATTTCAAGACCATTTAGAATTTCTTTTTATTCTCATTTTGTCTCTAAAGTATCAAACTATACATTCAACCTATATATATATATAACTATATAGAAGTGTTTCCCTGTTTCTGGATGGTTACCAGCAGTACACATTTTTGGATTTCTTCCTTATCTGACCCTTCCATTTCAGGCCTTAGAGTCTCTATTAATGAGCTGACAAACTGAATCAGCTGTGTTTAACAGAAAATGTTCACTGTTGACATGCATCTAGGAACAGGGTTGGAATACATGGATGTGTAATCCTGTAATAATGCCATGCAAAGTATAATAAGCTGTAAACTTCACTACAGCTTACTGATGTACACGTCACTGGAAGTATACTCACATACTGTAGATGACTGTAGTCTGATGAACTTCTCAAGGTCAGCTCGTCTGATAAAAGCCAGAAAAGTGATATGTATTTGATCAGGATGCTGCTTAAATAGAGCTCCAAAGGGGGCAGGCGGTACCTGGAAAAACACCAAGACACCCTGTGTCAATGTAATCAGCAATGTAATCAGTGTATGAATATGAAAATAAGGTTTCCAACACACTATAATTATATGAAGTAGTTTCACTGGCAGCAAATTGTTGATTAATCATTAACCTTCTTTTGTGCTCACTGAGGGCAGAAAATCATACACGTTTTAAACGATATGAGGGTGAGTAAATGATGACAAAGGATTAATTTTGGGGGGAAATGGTTATTTATGGGATTCATTTATTTTTCGGGTCATCTTGATGGTTTGGAAAGACTCCACTTTCCAATATCTGTTGACGTAACACAACTAGTTCAAAGAAAACCCTTCCCCAATTCAACTTTTGCATATTTTGCATTCATATTTGCATCCAGAACTAACCTTCTATTTATATTGCAAAACAGGTTTCTGCATATCTTTTATTTTGCATGTACAATCATAGTGATAATTATCATGTCACAGTTACATTCCCAGGTTAGAATATTGTACATACTGCGTTCATGAAAATGCATTTAGTTTAAAAACAGCTGCTTTTGTGTATTGTTGTGATTTTCCAGCAAAGTTGGCTCTACCAATGTTTTCTAGTGCAGTATGTTTCTACATTACTTTTTGTTAGCTTTACATTATGCTAGCTAACTCATTAAAGCATGAATACCTTACTCATATAATATTATGTCAGAATATGAACTTTGTAGCTCGTCTGGGAACTTGATGTACTCATTCCATACTGTGTAATTTAATGGTTAATGCATAGAATTCTGTGAATGTCTATTTGATCATAAACTATAAATCATGTTATTATATGGAATTAAGTATACACACTATTTTTATATTTATTTTCCATGAAAATTACTAACATTTATGGTGTGCTTGATGAGTAGGAGAAATGTTGTAGTCCTTATGCTTTGTGTTACCACATTTTTAAAGCACATTACCACTTACAAATGCACATTTGAGGTATGACTTTGTGAATTTATGCAGTAAAATAAATTCTGATAGTGAATAGCTTCATATAATAAAGTCGAGACTGGATCTCTGGTCTTTGCCTGGTTTATTTATTAAATTATATCAAATTCAAACTTGTCCTTAGATTCAAAATAATATGATAAAATGTTATATGGTTTGTAAAAGTCATTTTCAGAGCTGTACAAATGATGAAAAGCGTTTTTAATTATGACATGGCAACTATTCAGTGTATTGAGTTGAGCGGGCCAGGCAGACAGTTGCATTCATATTAAAATTAACTCAAACATACAGACAAAAATAAGATTTTTTTCAGACATATTATAAAAAAATAATTAAATAAATAAATGTAATTAAATTAAATAAAAACAACAGCGCACAAAAGATAGCTAGAGAAGAAGAGATCATCTATCTTCTATTAAAACCACAGTAATTGCTTTTTCTGTTCATATTCCAAAGTATTAGGATATACAATTCTGAACAAAGATATATTTGTTTCCAAAGTATAAAACATTAAATGAATTTCTATTTTGCATGCATGATGATTAGAATTAGTGGCTATGAAGAACAGTCTGTGTTTTTATATCTAATATCTTTATTTATATTTATGCGTTTGGCAAATGTATTTATCCAAAGTGACATTCAAATGAGGAACATAATGAGCTAAAGCTATGGTGAAAAAATATCGTGTGACATGGTGCTGTAGTAAAAGCCCTTTTTATTTGCAAACATGAAAACTCAGAGTGGGATTATAAAATATGGTTTTCATTTAAACCCACACGTGTTCCAAACAAGCACTATAATCTATGGTTAATGCTTTACATTTTATTAAATAAACACTTCAGTTTGTAATATTTTTATCAGTAGAATTAACCTGTATGTCACCATGAACAGTGTTAAGACCATAATGATAAGAACAGCATTAGCACGGCAGCCACACCACACACACACACAGGTTTGTTTTTATGGTTTATGGAGACTCTCCATAGGCGTAATGGTTTTTATACTGTACAAACCGTATTTTCTATCGCCCTACACCAACGCTACACCTAAACCTACCCCTTACAGAAAACTACTGGCAATTTTTGAATTTCATAAAACACCATTTTGTACAGGGACACAGGAAGTGTCCTCATAAACCATGTTTACGTTGTAGTACCCATGTCATTATACACATTTGTGTCCTCATTACCAGTACACACACACACACATGCTGTCACGGTATTCAGCTGGTGTGCCTTAGATGGCCACCAAAGGTCACTGTTGAGCACATGGCTTATTGTTTGTTGGTGCCATGTGCTCTCCTGTCTATTGTCTGACCCCACCCTTCTTGTTATCTCTGGCTGCGTCCAAAACCGCCTACTCAATGAGTAGGTACTTAATTTCAATAAGTACTTACTTAACGAGGGCTAAAAGAGTAGGTACTCTACTGCCAAATCTCTTTAAGTATGAATGCGATCCAGGAGGGGGAATTCCAAGATGGCGGAGTGAGCAGTCACGTTTATGCAGGCTCTGAGAAAAATAGCTTGAAAACGTCCTAAAATTGTTATCTCTGACATAAAAAACAACAACCAGTAGTTAAGTTATTTTCAAGTTTGTTTCAACTTGTGGACTTGTTGCCCTAACTACACATGTTTTCTCCTTTTCCTTAAATGTAAACGATGGCAAACACCAACCAAGCAGATACCGGACTAGTTGAGCATGACTACAACTTAAATGCTCTCGCAGAGGCATGTGATTTAGAAGAAATTGAAGATATGATGGTAGAAACTGCCAAAACAAGACATGACCATACACCTCTGCCCAGCCCGAATCCTAAGAACGTAAGATCAAAGGCGAAAGACAAAGTTAAACAAACAGACGAAATAACAAATGAAGTGATTTTCGATGCAATTCAAACTCTAATTAAGAGATTTGATGAGCAAGATCAGCGACTGAAAATAATTTAAAAGACAATGGAGGAAAATGCACATGCAGTTAAAGAGAATAAAGAAGACATTGGCAAACTGAAAAAGGAAGTAGCAGACTTGAGGAAAGAGAACATCTCACTGAGACAGCACTGTTTGGAGCATGCCAGGTACAAAAGAAGATGGGATCTCAGGCTGATCGGTCTTCCAGAAAAGGAAAAAGAAGACACAAGAGAAACGGTGATCGGAATTCTTACCCGGGTGATTCCGTGATCCGTGGAGAAGCTCCGGCAGTCGGTGGATACCGTGCATCGGTTAGGATAAAGAAACGACGCCGCTACTAACAAGTTACCCAGGCCAGTGATCATTGTGCGTGATGAAGTGTGGAAAAAATCAAGAGAGGCAAGAGTGTGTAAAGAGATGAACATCCAATTCAAAGAAGACTTTTCAAAGGAAGATCACAAAGCTCGTGCTAAGTTGTGGCCAAAAGTGCAAGAAGCCAGAAAAAATGGGAAGAGAGCCTTCCTAAAAGAAGGCTATGCACTTATTGATGGACTCAGAGTTGACCCATAACTGATGATCACAAGTTAACACGTAGACACGTTAACGTGTTCAAGATTGCCGCATATCAGATGGAAATAATCTGATAAAACTGTTTAAGAAAAGGTGTTTAACTAAAGACAATACTGTATGTTTTAGTTGGTATGGTTTTGTTATAGAGTTATTAAGGACAACATGTTCACTCCTGCGTACAAAGTTGAGTGTGTGCTGAGAGCTGAGATGGTTATACATTAATTTAATTTATGTCTATTTCTTTTCTATCTTTGAATGCTAGGGGGTTAAAAAACAGTGTTAAGCGTAAAGCAATTTTTTTTTATTTTGCAAGGAATAAAAAGCAAACAAGAGACTTTCTTACAAGAGACTCATTCTGCATTAAATTATGAAAGATTTTGGGAAGTTCCGTGGCGTGATTTAGCCTTGTTTGCACATGGATCTTCACATTCAGCTGGAGTGAAGGTATCATTTAACAGATTTGAAGGCTCTGTAATTGTTCATAAAGGGAACACAGAAGGCCACTGGTTAATGATAGCAGTAGAAATTCATGACAAATGTTATATATTACTCTGTATTTATGGTTATAATAACAAAGTGGCTAATAGAGAAATGTTTAAGAAACTTGGTAAATTGGTAAATGAATGGGGGAAAAAAAGTATAATGCAGAAAATGTGAAAATAGGGGGTGACTTTAATATAGTCCCTGATTTATGGCTAGACAGGAGACCTCAAAGAGGTTCACATTCTGTGTATAATGATACTATATTGAATTTCTGTAAAACTGTAAATGTGGTTGATTACTGGAGGGTATCTAACCCAAACAGCATTCCGTATACATGGTTTAACTCCTCAGGAAATGGACCATGTTTGATATTAGATTATTGGCTTATTTCTTGTGAACTATGTAAAATTGTCACGGGATGTAAAATTACAGCTGCCCCACTTACAGATCAGTGTATGGTTACTCTGTCCTTATCAGTGTTTAAGAAACCTCAAATTGATCCTAATATTTGGAATTGGAGTTTAATAATGACTTGTTAAAGAATGATAGATTTTATCAACAGGTGTTGGCTCTCATTGAGGAGACTGAAAAGCTAGATATGTCTAAATTAAATAAATGGGAATGGTTTAAATTTAAGGTTAAATTTAATTTAATTAAGGTTAAATAAGTAAGCTTATTAGTAAGCTTAAGATTAATGAAATTATAACAGGTGATCAAAAAGTAATTCAAAATTAAATTTTGCTTTTCTATTCTAACCTTCATAAATCCAATTACAAAAAAGCTGATTGTGATTCTTTATTTGTGATTATAAGAGACAAAATACGTAAACTGAATGAGGGAAACACATTCTTAATTGATGTTGAGTTGACTTTTTGAGGAAATGGATGTAGCTTTAAAACAAATGAATAATAGTAAATCACCAGGTATAGATGGATTAACTACTGAATTTTAAAAACATTTTTGGAAAGATATTCGGAAATTATTATATTATGCATTTTTAGAATGCATTCAGGAAGGAAGCTTATCACCTACTATGAAAACAGGTTTAATAACCTTGCTACCTAAACCCAAAAAACAATTGCTATTGTTAGATAATTGGAGACCAATAACTCTATTATGTACAGATTATAAATTACTTGCCCTGGTGTATGCAAATCATCTTAAACATGTACTTGGGAAACTTGTAGAGGAGTATCAATCAGCATTCATTAACGGAAGATATATTCAAAACCATATTAGACTAATCCTGGATGTGATCGACTATCAATCGTTGATACAATCAGAAAGCCTCATTTTATTTATAGATTTTGCATGAATTTATATTTACGACGCTTAGAATGTTTGGGTTTGGGGAAGGGTTTTGCAAGGTTATTAAAATGTTTTATAACAACATTTATAGTTATATATCCCTTAATCCACTCCTATTTTGCGTGGAATTAGACAAGGATGTCCAATCTCTCCAAAACTGTTTATATTATGCACTCAAATGTTAGCTTATTTAGTTGTCAACCATCCTCAATTAAAAGGAATTACCATTTCTGATTATGAATATCGAATTAGTCAATTTGCTGATGACACAGTCATATTTTTAAAGATACATTTATAGTTAAAAAAAGCCCTGAATATTATTTCAGTTTTTTTTCTAGAGGATCAGGCTTATGCCTAAATGTAAAAGAAAATTTAACTTTTTCCTTTGTTTTCATGTAATGAAGAAAATATAGAATCCATTCTTGTTCAATTTGAAGTGAAATACTTAGGTGTAATAATGTCTTAAGAAATACATACTAGAGAATTAGTAAACATAGATGAGAGAATTGACAGTATGAAAAAATCTCTTAATCATTGGCTTATGAGACATCTGTCTATTATGGGCAGAATCCTCTTGACCAAAGCAGAAGGCATATCTAAACTAATTTACCCATGTTACTCCCTTTATGCTTCTCCTCAACAGATTAAAAAAAAGTTAACTCTATTATGTTTAATTTTATATGGAAAACAAAACTCATTAAATTAAAAAATCTCAGATGATTAAAGAATATTAAAAAGGAAAAAAGGTCTGAAAGCCATTGAGTTTGAATCAGCGGTTGGAGTTCTTAAACTGAATTGGATTAAAGTGTATTTAGCACAGCCTAACTCACTGTGGTTTCATATACCAAAGTGTGTATTCAAGAAAGTTGGAGGGTTAGATTTTTTGCTGAAATGTGATTTCGAAGTTTCCAAATGGCCAATTAAGCTTTCAAAATTTGGAGCCCTCTCTGCTCCAGCTGTCACAGGCATCGTTGCAACGCCTCCTTTTCCATGCGTTGGCTGTTACCGACATCATTGCTCTATAAAAAAAGATAAAATTGTTATGTTATTGCAAAGTAGTGATTAATTCAGAAAATGTCTCAAAATAATACCAGACATGTATATGTTAGCACTGAATTTACATTCATAAACAAAAAAATACCTGAATAAGCTGAATGTCCATTATCCGGTTTGTGTTTAGGTCCATCACTGTGTAGGCCCTGCATAATTAATCATCAGAAAATTAATATTTAATATTAATTAAGCGAGCTCTCTCCTCCTCTTGGCAGGTCCGTTAGGACGAAGGCTTGGCAGCTGAAGGCAGTCTGCTGTCACGGTGGGGACTCCTCCTCTCTCCATGATGCCTTTTCCCGGATCCTTTCCACTGCTTGCGGCGAACATCTGGCTCATGTCGGGGAGCCGCAGAGGATGTGACTGACTGCTTAGCCATTCTCTGAGCAGAGCTGGCTGCAGATGAGGAGCGTGATCTCAATGGTGGATGGAACGTGTGCTGGGGAATCAGGTGACTCATCGCCAATGCCTCAAGCCATCGTGCTTTTGTGTCTCAGAGAAGCGCTCGATAACAGACTCCACGGTGTCACCGAACAGGCTGGAGGGAGTGATTGGCACGTTAAGGAGCACCTCACGGTCTGAGTCCTTCAGGTCAGCTAGGGTCAACCATAGGTGCCTGTGAAGGACCACCATGAACCCCCATGGATCGACTGAAGGCTTGAGCGGAGCGTTTTATCGCTATCAGCACAAAGTCTGTTGCCGTGCGCAGGTCTTTCACGGAGGGTAGGCATGTGCATGGAACTGTGTTTCATTGTTTTATTGTATTATTGTTATTGTTTAACAGTTTTTGTTATTGTTTTATTGGGAATCAGGTGACTCATCGCCAATGCCTCAAGCCATCGTGCTTTTGTGTCTCAGAGAAGCGCTCGATAACAGACTCCACGGTGTCACCGAACAGGCTGGAGGGAGTGATTGGCACGTTAAGGAGCACCTCACGGTCTGAGTCCTTCAGGTCAGCTAGGGTCAACCATAGGTGCCTGTGAAGGACCACCATGAACCCCCATGGATCGACTGAAGGCTTGAGCGGAGCGTTTTATCGCTATCAGCACAAAGTCTGTTGCCGTGCGCAGGTCTTTCACGGAGGGTAGGCATGTGCATGGAACTGTGTTTCATTGTTTTATTGTATTATTGTTATTGTTTAACAGTTATTGTTATTGTTTTATTGTGCAGACCACGACTGAGACCACAACGGGTGCAGACCATGACTGCTTACGGACATCAGGGAAGAATGGAACCCTCCTCCTCAAGGAAGCCACGCGGCGGCTCGACTGGCAGTACCAGGAGTCAAGCTTACTCCTGGCAGTATTCTCCGGAGCATCCCAATTAAGGTCAAGCTCCTTAACAGCTTTTGCAAGGACCCTGGCAGGTCTAGGGGGCCCTCAGTGTTAAAGCGATCCCATTCAGACTCTGCCTAGTCCTTTTCTGACGCTGAGATGGACATGGAGTCATCGTCTTCCTCAGGGCCAAAGGAAACAACATTCATGATGGCGGGTGGGGGGGGGCGAAGGCTCTCGTCAGTGAAAAAGACTGGGAAAAGGGGCCCCGAGGGAGGGGAGGGGCCACCAGAGGCTCGCTGGCGGCAGTGGGCCTCCTCCTTGTAAGGCCACAAGCAATGCTCCTCCGAGTCCTCAAAATATGTGCCGGCAAATCAGTGCAGTTCACGCAGTCGAACTCAGAGAACGCAGCCTCAGCGTGAGCCAGGCCCAGGCAGGCGATGCAGTACTTGTGCGGGTCCAGCGGGTTGATGGGACCCACGACACAAGTCGACAGAAGGTGGCCATCAGATGCGGTGAAGAAGTTGTGGTATCTTCTGGTGTGTCTTCGATGATGGCAGCGTGAAGGAGAAGATTCTGAGGCAATTATCGCTCTCACTGGAGTAATGGGCGTGGCGAAAGTTTAGGGTGTGCTGAAAGGTAGGGGCATGGAGAAAGGTCTTCATAATTGGTCGACAAAGCTTTCTATCAGGGTGTAGGGGTAGTGCCTCCTTTCAGCACGCCCATTGTTCCAGGCTCATTGTTATGTCTTTTATATGTTTTGTAGGTGAGGAATGAGACTTTTTACTGGAATCGACTGTTGATGACGTCACACAGGTACGGGTAGCACACTTATACAAAATACATGACATCCCCTCTCTTAAGTTTAGAACTATCCAGCTTGTAAGTGTTATTTCGCAATAGTTATAACAGTTATTACAAAATTTTATTACATTTTTTTAACATGCCTTTTGTAAACAACTATAGGTGTAAACTCTTTATCACACAATATTTTTAATTAAACAATTATACAAACTAAATAGAAACTTTTGTTTTGGTTGCACAAATTATTCAAAACAAAAAGAAAAATCAAGCATCGCGTTAGTTCAAGCAGGCCACGTCAGTCAAGCTCGCATCAGCTGATAGTCAACTGTTCCTGACGTGTACCAATCCAGTTTTGAGACTTATCACAGTGGTCCATTTAAATTCCCCTTCTCCAGCATCTCTTCTATTGCATCACTGATCGCAAATCAACTCCCTCCTCCAACCCCAACTCCACCTAACTGAGCCTGTAATCTAATCTGATTTTTCCCCTCTCTTCTTCATATGCAGTTCACTATTGCAAGCATTTTCTATCATGTATTTTGTATGTTCTACAACTCATGTAAATTGTGAATTGTAATTATGTATGCATTAACTGGATCTGTTCTGTACCCCAGGGGGGTTTGACTTGCTGCTCTCCTCGCTCTGCCCAAGCATGGCTGCAAGGACAGGCGTGGGGTGTTTTGCCCAGAACAGAACCATACCACCAAGTTGCGTACAACACTAACTGTAATGCTATATAATTGTAATAAATATACTTTGACCAAGGGGACCTGACTGAACTCAGGTTAGTGCAGTACAGATTTGTAGTGTCAACCACTGTTCAGTACCTTGAAGTACCTTTAGTTCACTTGTCTACCTGACCTGGTAATGTGTATGTGTGACTGAGACTCAGGAAATTCAGTGTTGTGTGTCTCTTTGTCCATTGTAGATGATTTAGTGTCAGTGACATGTGAGCCCATCACACTATCAGTGTCATTGACTGTGTTGTCTGTAGCTGTCTTGAGAATTAAATACTGCTCAGTTGTCTTTGGTCATGGCAACTGGTTTGTTTCTGGTCCAAGGTGATCTGCCATCTCTAACCAGTCTGATTAAAATCTATCAGGACGATTAAACTTTGCTTAAAAATGCATTTAGATTGACTGATTGCTTGAGCAGCATGAACACAGAAACTCAGAAAAAGTTAATGGCCAGTTAACAGAAATATTCTACTATATGGCCTATTTGGTGATGGGAACCACAAAAACCACATAGTTGCCTACTATGAAAAGCAAGAGATGCAAATTAAACGGGTGTTGTATGACCAAAATGATTTTTTATTTTTTATTTTGTACTGCACACCAGGTCTCAGCTACCCACTTCAAATATTCTTCACTTTTCTAGCTTTTACCAGATGAGCTATCTATGTAAGTATATTTCAGTGACAAGCACTTAAGATGTAATTTATGTGGTAAACAGCTTGAAACTTTGCAGGAGGTTAATAGGACAAATATAAATGGTAAAACGTGTGCACAAATGAAAAAAAAGCAAACCTAATTTTTTTTTAAATCATGAAATATGAATGATGTAAACAACCTTTTGAGTAAAAAATAATTTATTGACCATTTTAATTATTTATTGACCATTTTAGAATGAATAAACAAGACATTATTTAATGTATTTCATTTAAATCTCTAAATCTGTGATATAATTTTCAGATTTCATCACAGATGTCCAGCCTAACAATCAGGGGCGTAGCAGCCATTTTAAAAGTGTGTGTGTGGGGGGAACGCGATTTTTACCTGAGGATTGCCCCCGAAAAGTGATTGGGCTAGTTTTGAGTAGCAATTGGGCGGGTTTTGCTGTGAAAACCTGGCAACCCTGATTCAGCATTGGGTGAATGACTTTTCAGGGATTAGATAAGGTGAGGATGTCATGGTCAATTGTACATGTAGATTAAAGTTAAAATAGTGCATCATTCAGATTTGCCTTCAGTTAACATGAAAGAATAAAAGAGCTCTGAAAAGGGAAAAATAGCATTAGCCAATCAGTTTTAATAGTTTTAATCGGCTGTTGTTTTTTTTATCAACTAGCTTGTCAAATGTGTTTAAAGCATTACTGCATGTTAACATAGATTGGCCCATCAGGCCAAACATATTGATCATTTAATAATTGTTGTAATGCTAAAATGTTTGTTTTCAACTTCCAAATAGGTGTCCAATGATTGATAAATAAATATTTGATTGCTGAATATTGTACCCTAATTTGAAGTAGCTGTTCATGATTTTGCATACCATTGCATGAATGACTGCCTGACACATAATATATTATTATATTTATGATTAACAATCAAATGATTAATTAGTTATACATATGAATACAGGTGCCACCATGACTTGTTTGTCATCGAGTCAGTGTTGCTGATGCAAAGTCGGCCCTTCATTACCAAACACAAAGTAACTAAATTAGGATACAATTATGAGTAATTTGCAAACTGTTAAACATTAAACTGTTGGTTACTTTAAAACTAACCTTCATCTGGGAGATCACAGCGATATGTGAATATTTGATCTGTTAACTGGTTGCATATGTCAGATTTATTGCATGACTCGGGCAGAGAAAAGCTGTTGCTATCAAACATTGTTTACTCAACTGAGTCAGTGTAATGGTGAAGGGATGGATCAAATAGGCCAGTTGATGGAAGGTTTGCGATGAAATTTCATGCTCCCTTGTAAAAGTATTTTTTAGTATTTTTAAAATACAAAAATACAGTAGTTTATTTTGATACATGGTGTGGCTGCTGTATTTTGTAGTTTATTTTGATACACTTAAAATTATGGTATTTGGTATTTTATTTTAAAATACATTTTGATGTATCTTTGCCCAACCCTGCTTGTGGGGATATTTGGTCCCCATAACGTGATAAATACCAGGTACACACATACACACACACACACATGTATTTGTGGTTTACGGGGACTCTCCATAGGCGTAATGGTTTTTATACTGTACAAACTGTATTTTCTATTGCCCTTTACCAACGCTACACCTAAACCTACCCCTCACAGGAAACTGTTGGCAATTTTAGAATTTCATAAAACACCGTTTTGTATGTTTTTTAAGCCTTTTGTTTTACGGGGACACATTTGTGTCCTCATAAACCATATTTACGTTGTAGTACCCATGTAATTATACACATTTGTGTCCTCATAAACCATATATACCTGTACACACACACACACACACACACACACACACAAACAAACAGCAGCATAATTTTAAAAGTAACAATCAAAATGTACACAATAATTAAATTGAAGTTTATAAAAATGAACAATTCACTCTTAGGCCCATTTTGTTATGACAATCCTACAAAAATAATTCCCCTGAACACAAGGGCACTCTGGAAGCTTCTGATTTTTCCAGGAGATTGTTGAGGGCCTTTTCCTTGTCCTCTTCTTCCATTATAAGGAAACGAGGCTCTTCCACTGGCCCCCTGAGCAGATGTCTGTTGTAATGGAGCCATTTCACAACTTCTATTTGGGATTACTGGGATCTTCCTTTCTACTAAAGGAAAATGTAACTTTAATATTTCTTATTAATTTGTGTACACACATATATATATATATATATATATATATAAATAGATACAGACAGACAGATAGATAGATTTGAGACATATCTATCCAGTTGGAAGGGCCTCTTGTAGGGTGTCTGCACTGTAATACACATGCATCTTAGTTAATTTCAAATTGGTCAGAAGGGGGTGCAAATTTAATGGTAGGCTGGAGGAAATGTCCAGTACCTTTCAGAGAAAACTCCAAAGTCCTCCAGAACAATAAGAGTCCACCATCTCCACCAAGGTTGTCATCACAAGGTAAATTACTTTAACTGATAACTACTTACAGATGTAAAATCAAAGGGTGCTCCCAATACAAGATGTCCTGGAAAACAACAAAAAATAAGAATATTCTCCCTGTAAATGGCACAAAAAACCTTCCTTGTTCCTTATTGAACAACTAAATAATCACACCAATAATTGGTTGCAAAAATGTATAGTAGCCTAAAATAAATAAATAAGTACACAGGTAAACTATTATTGTAAACTAAATTGTGAGTACATATATTAAACAAACAACTCAAGATGTCCATACCTCCACAGACAACTGCCTTGTTGAAGTGGATTTGAAGATTACTTTTTAATTTGACCAGTTTGGCTGGCTTAAACATGCTGGTCATGCAGAAAACTGCTGGTAATTGCTGTAACATTTGTTGCACTGCTGCAGCTCAGGTAATGCGTCACCTCTCTGAATCCTTATATGTCTCTACAAGAGATGAAGCCACACGCAATTATCTCAATGATGACAAATGGGATTAAAATAACACACAAACAATGCATATACCAGAGGGAATTAAAGCAAAAACATTACAGACTACTCACCGTGCTCTCTCATTGTCAATAACTCCGCCCCTCACTTCCGGTTCTGTGGCTGCGGTTCTGAAACATATGGATATATCTCCATGGCATACGTGCCCAAGAGATGACTCGCCTTGTGATTGGCTGAATGTTAGTTCACTCAAATCTAAGTAACAAATCAGAGAACGCGGGTCGAAATAGTGGCGGTGGGTCAAAAAAAGTGCGGGGGACAGAATCACCTGTTTCTAACAGTGCGGGGGACGTGTCCCCCCGGCTGCTACGCCCCTGCCAACAACTCTGTTTAAAATTGGTGGTAAAGAAGGTTCTCAGTTTTCATTGACCGGTTAGAATAACGGTGCCAGTTTAGAGAAGATCGGGGTCTGGCTGGGAGAATGGCAGGTGAAGGCTGTCAAGGTTTGGCTTTCAGATGGCAGAATTGGGAGCTTTGGCACTCAAGCCGGGCTGTATCAAGAGTACATGTTCAAGCCTGGTGAGTGTTTCACCTCACTGTCCCTCTGGGGGAACGGAGCAGGAACACGTCTTGGAGCCATCAAATTCAAGACCAACAAGGGTGGAGAATTTTTTGCAAAGATGACAAGCTGGGGTTTAAAACAAGAATATCCCATGGATATCATCTCAGGATAATGTTTGGGAGTTGTAGGAAGAGCTGGTGCAGATATTGACTGCATGGGATTCATGTTTCTCAACGCGGTTCAATCAACAGTTCTCACCAATGTCAACTATTCAACTATTAACCAAATAAAGCCACAAGTGACAGTGGAAGAAATCAAATCTGTCACTTACACAAATGAAACCTCCGCTAATTAACAGCAAGCAATCGAAACCTCAAAGAAATTGATCAAAAAATATTCATGGTCGATGAGTCATAGCTTTACAAAAACTTTTAGTGTGGAAGTAAAGGCTACGATTGCAGAGGTTGTAGAATTTTCTACAGGATACAGTTTCAAAACTGGTTCACAAAGCACTTATAGTCTGGAGGAGACAGATGAGAGAACCGAAACTCTGACTACCACTGTAGAAATCCCACCAAGAAAGAAGGTGGATGTTGACATCACCATCGGCAGAGCCGCATTTGACCTGCCTTACACTGGAACAGTGAAGATAACTTGCAAGAACGGCGGTGTGTTACAGTATGAAACCTAGGGCCGATACAAAGGCATCACTTACACTGATATCAAAGTGAATACTAAAGAATCAGTTGTGTAATTTTAAGACAAAGTCTTCCTGGCTGGTCTTTAACTGATTTTACCAATGTATCCATTTTTTCTGCTTTTGTATGATTTGTTTGAAATTTCCTCCTTTGTTCAATTTCAAATGTCTATTTGCTCCATTTTTTTTTAAAAAAGGTGAAATACTCAGCACTTTCTTTTTCAAATAATCTTATACAAAAAGGGTTATTTTATGGTATTACGATGAAAGCTCCCTTTTGGAATCTTTTTTAAAGAGTGAACTCAAGCTTTATATCTGATTCTCAAATTAAATTCCTATCTTAAAAATCTTAAATCACTCTAATACGAAATAAAGCCTAAATTGAATTGATTGAATTGTATTTTTATTTATATTACACATTAGATTAGAACTCATGTCTGCTCGAACCTTAATAATTGTAACAATTTTAAGTTCTTTATGTTCTTATGTTTCTTAACATACTTTTCTTCATGCTGTTCTCTATTGTTTAATTTTTACATGTGGGGTTCTTTTTGTATTGTCATGGGTAATTGTCTCGGCTTGTTCATTTATATTTTTGTTAAATGTATGTTTGTTTTGTCAGGAAGACAACTTAACATAACCAATAATACAGTATTAGCTGAACTTTAGCCTCTTAATCTTTGGTAGACATTCAGCTAAAAGCTTTAGTTACATTTCCACATGAAATGAATTACATGAATTAAAACATAATGACTTTAAAGGTTTGTAATGTAAGCATCATTCAACACTTTCAAATGGTATTCTACAATCTGAATAAAATGATTAATATATATTTGGACAAACAGAATGATATAAGTATAGTTCATGTTGCTATACAGTTGTCACGATCACCAGTTGGAGTGCCCTTGATAGCCACCAGAGGGCATTCCGTCCCATACCTTTGCCACTCTGGACTGCATTGGGAGACTTGTGCAATGTCACTTTTTCAGTGTTTCCTTTTTAATAAATTTGCAAAGTTGTGATACATCCGGTTTTTGCTGTGTCATTATGGTGAGTGGGGTGTAGATTTATGTGGGGAAAAAAGTAATTCAAAGCAGTTTAACATGCAACATAACAAAATGTGAAAAAAATGAAGGGGTATGAAGACTTTCTATAGGAACTGTAGATATTCCAAAAAGCATCATTAATGAGATAAATAAATGTATATATAATTTTATCTGGAAAAATAAACATCATTATTTTAATAAAAAAAAATACTTTGTAATCCACTTAGTCAAGGTGGGCTAAATGTACTTGATTTTGAAATATCTAACACTATTTTTAAAATTCAGTGGACACAAAATTATATCCGTTCAAAAGATAAGCTATGGTATTACATCCCTAATCTTATTTTTGAAAAAGTAGGTGGTATTGAATTTCTTCTTAACTGTAATTTTAATATTAGCAAGCTTCGCATAAAACTTTCCAATTTTCACAAACAGGCATTGCCATCATGGAAACAGTTTTTCTCCTCACAAATGCTTAATTTGGAATAATAAATACATTACACACCAAAATAAATCTCTTTTTTTTAGTTAATTGGTTTAGAAAAATTTTTTGTTGGTTTCACAACTTTTGAATAGTAGTCATGGTCATGTGCTTACATATTCAGAGTTTTTAGAAAACATTTCATTATACCTGTTAAGGAGTATATGATGGTAATTAATGCAATTCCTTCAGAACTTAGGAAATTATTAGGAAATGATCTAGTTGAAAAATCCGAAGTTAGATTTCAGTCTTAAACTGGAAGGTACACATATAAAAGAACAAAAATGTAATAATAATTATCTTAATTATTTCCAGTATTTCCAGTGTTCCTTTAGCCCTTTGTTTTTGGAAATCACAATTTCAAGATGTCAACTGGAAAGAAACCTTTAAGATCTCCAGACGTTTTT